GTTTATTTGTAGTGCAAAAATTAAGAACAGTCAAGTACAGACGATGTATAAACGGATTATTCAGGTACCTTGCGTGTACAGACACTCAGTAATGGCTCCTGGAAGAAGACGTTACAAAAGCAGGAGGGTAATTACGTAAGGTGTTTATGACTCATGTTGTCATGTCACTAATGCCTCACTAACTTCTCTTCGCAAATTACATCTCTTCTCACATAGCATCTTTTAGATATCGGGTCAAACACTTTGTAAAGTTTAAATAATTAATAACTGCGAGAATAAACAATATTCAGACACACTGAAAACAAAAGAAAACAGTAGAAAAAGGTACCTGGTGTACTTGGTGCAGCAGTTGAGGGACAAGCCGTTTCACTACATCCAGATGTGCGGGTATAACCTTTCCAAGTGTAATAAAAAAAGGTAAGCGCGGTAGACTGTTGTCTGCAGGTCATCAATGAAATTTCGGAACGTCTTGTCCTTTCGGACAAGCCGTTTCCTCATGCTGGCGACCACGTTCGCGCATACCGAAAATGTTTTACCTTTTCTTAACTGGTTGTACGGGACGAAACCGTTGCTCACAGCTCAGTCAAGTTTTGGCACATAGCAGCGACGGATAGTTCCCATATTTTTTTCACAATGTCGCAGTCAGCAATCATTAACGACGAACAACTTATTGAAGAAGTGCGTAACCGTCCTATGTTGTATAATTTAAAAGAGGCGAAGTATATGGATGGGGTATATAAAATGAAAGTGTGGGAGGAAGTAGGGAGTGCACTGAAAACTGATAGTAAGTACAATGATAGTACGAACGTCATTGTCGTTTGCCTACGCGCGTGCAAGTGTATGTGGATATGTATGTATGTATGAGGACCGTCGACATTAGTGGTAACCAATGGGCACCGCGAGGAGGTTGCTGATCGGGTTTTGCACATCGTGTGTATGTGTGCGTGTGGGAATGATCGCGTGCATGCGCGCGCGGGTGTATGCGTGTGTATGTATGTGTATGTGCACTCGCGCCTGTTCACGACATCTGCCTGTAAAATATACATAGAAAATAGTTAAGTAAAAACCGTGTATTATTCTAGCAAACAAATGTAAACAAAGGTGGCGGAATATAAGAGATAGATATAGAAAAACGGTGCAGAAATGGCAGACACGCAGTGGGCAAGAACATAAAAATATAAAAGAGTACAAATATGCGCAACAACTACGCTTCTTGAATGAAACGTTGCAGATGAGAGGCATCAAAACAAATATTCCACACATCAATGGTAAGAACAATGTCTTCTTTGACGAACAATATTTCAACCGATGGAATATATATTGTTATAAATTCCTTAGAAATAAGTTCTCACAGGATGCAGATGAACGTAGTTTGTTGATCACGAGTGTAGAACAAGTTTATTTGTAGTGCAAAAATTAAGAACAGTCAAGTACAGACGATGTATAAACGGATTATTCAGGTACCTTGCGTGTACAGACACTCAGTAATGGCTCCTGGAAGAAGACGTTACAAAAGCAGGAGGGTAATTACGTAAGGTGTTTATGACTCATGTTGTCATGTCACTAATGCCTCACTAACTTCTCTTCGCAAATTACATCTCTTCTCACATAGCATCTTTTAGATATCGGGTCAAACACTTTGTAAGCTTTATTTCCATCAGAGTACCCAATCATCATCATTTTCGTAGAGTTCATTTCCCACTTACTTCTTTGATCCTTGGGAATATAAACATAGCATGGACTTCCAAAAATCTTCAGATGACTTACAGAGGGTTTCGCAGCAAACCACATCTCGAACGGAGTTTTGCCTTTTAAGGTGTTTGTCGCAGTTCTATTTTTGACATATACAGCTGTGGCGGTGGCTTCAGCCCACAGATACAACGGTAATTTCTTAGCATGTAACATACTTTTGGCTGATTCAACTACGGTCCTATTCTGCCTTTCGATATACCCGTTCTGTTCAGGAGCCCTGGGTGTCGAAAATTCATGCTTGATCCCCCTTTCTAACAAGAATTTTCTGACTCCATCATTTTGAAACTCCCTTCCACAGTCAGTTCTAAATCTCAAAATTTTATGCCCGTCGGCTTGAACATCAGCATA